AAGCACTGGAAAGCTGCGACAAGGTCTCCCCAGAGCCTTCTCTGGCATCGTTGGTTGAGGACAAACAGCCCTTCCATGATTATTGTCCTAGCCTTCCGCTGTACTTCGGTTGAAATTCTTCCAGAATTTTATGTGGTATTTCAGCTAGTGTCTGTCCTCACATTAAAAACTAAGTATTTGTGGTAACGATAGTTATATTAGCCTGAGACATTCAGGAGCACATTAATCTTTTTCTAAAGTCGCAGCACCTAGGTATCATTCTGAAATCAACCAATATCCTAGGCCTGAACTCTCAGCTTGTAGCACAAATTCTTATTTATGCCCTATGGGTGGCACATTTTCAATATTACATTTTACTGCACTATTACTATTTTATCCCCCTAAGCCTTCTGTAACCTTCAGTAGAAGGGATTGTTTTCTGTATTGACATTACGTCATTGACTTCTCGTGTTTTATAAGAAAAATTAATGAACATATTTCTACTACTCATGTAGAAGAAATCTACTCTCCAGACAGAAATTTCCCTAAGCAGCACAATGAGAGATGTCTTCCCTTTATCTTAGAATCATATAATCCGAGAACAGCTTGGGTTGGTCAGTTTCCTATTAATCATTTTGTTTCTATTTTAGTCTTCTACCTGCTATCTAACCATTAGTTTAGTTCCCTAGGTGATGTCATTATAACTAATCATTTAGAGAAATAAAGGTGGCTTATACTATGTGATCAGAAGCTCGATCCCATTCTGTTAGAGTTGCAGTGACATGCAGGTGCGTAATGCAGTTCTCTCAAACTCTGAAAAGTAGTTTTCCTTCTCCATTAGCTTTTAAAATGTTTCCTGTCCTCTTCTTTCAGAGTGTCTGATTACCCCTGATATACTTTTGAAGCAGTTATTAGCCCAGTTAGGGCTGGATCTCTTCTCTGCAAATATGTTCCATGATTTGGGATTCAGGTTCCTGATGAAATTTATCTGAGCACAGGTGGAAAAAGCCCCCAAACAAGTAACTTCCTAACATTTTGCCATAATAAATTTCCTCAGTTCGTTACAATTGAGTTTTCTTTATTCTTAATTATTAAGAATATTCTTATATTCTTATTCTTTATTCTAGTTTTCTTTATTCTTCAGTATTTGCCACTTGAAATGCAAAACCTTTGTAGAAAATCTGTTTTTTCTTATCCTTTCATAATGATCTTGTGACTATTTCATTAATGATTAATTTAAAGCTATAGCTAAAGCTATAGAGACTTTGCCAGGATGACAATCGCATACACTGATTTTGATTCACATTTGAATCTTTAGGCTTGCAATCTTTTTCTTTTTTTTCTCTTAGCTACACGTTGCTCTGTAAAATTGATGGTTCACTGTTTTCTGAAAAAAATGCTCAGTTTAAAACAGTGGACTAGGGTTTTCAACAGACCTGTGCAGCAGACAAAATGTGTATGTGTACCAGATGGTACTTCAGTTTGAGACTGCCTGTAATTGTCATGTTTTTAATAATGTCTCAGTAGAAGAAATTTAGATGGTTAGATGTGATGTCAGAAAGCAGATCAGAATTCAGTTTCTGATTTTCATGACACTAAATTTCTTCATAGAGAATGTTTTTCAAAAACTATTTAAAAGCTATTTCCACAGCTTGTAATATCATACTCTCAGTATAACATGTTAACTTTAGTCATAATCATCTTGTCAAAAGGCATTGTTTTCAGCATCTTATTAGAAAGACTCTGGCAGGAGAGGTCTGTGTAGATTATCCTGACGTCCTCGTATAGCATTGAAATAACACTAGTAAGTTCAGATATGAACAGTGATCTGTACTGACTTCAGCAAACTTTCACTGTACGTTTGATAGAGCCAGAATTTTGATGTTACTTTGTATCCTCTTTGGTGTCCATTCCATGGTTAGTCATCCATCCCAAGGCTCTGAAGAGCTTTCCTTTCTTGGCCACTTATCCTCAAAAGAATTCTCACTTTGCAACTCACTGTGTATAGGATTAAGCAGGGAAGACATTGCCTTGAGACGGGGCCTTCTGGTTAATGTCAGCTGACTATTTGAGTTTTAAGTATATTTAACATCATAAGCTACTTGGGATGAGACACTGTCTTCCTCTTTGTACAGCACTGTCCTAGATACCTTGACCCTTTTAATAAGGTATGTTAACTTTACACGTAAAAAAACTTGCTTTGCATCTCTGAAAAGCAGTTTCACTAACCAAATCAAAGTAATCAGAACAGAATGGAAGATTGAAAACAAAAACATACTTGGCTGTGGGGTTTTGAGGAATCGCTATTTTGCCATCTTCTGTAACGACCTACTTAAACCAAGGTGTCGCACTTTGATAGCTGTCTGTAACACAATCTGGAGACAAGAAATATCCCAACTCAAAAATGTTGTTCTCGTTTCTATTCTTTTAGGTTTTTAAAATTTTTATTTCCAGCTTTTCCTTTCATTTTAAGATGCTTATTCATTTCTTCCATCCATTTGCATTTGTACCTTCTTGCTCCTTGACATGTCTTCTATGAGCCTGATGTTTACGGACAGCCACCTAAATACTTCATCTCTGTGACAAAGCGCACTTCAGAAAATGAATGGTTCTGATCAATCCAACCTGTGCAATTCCAGGATTATTCACTGATCAGTTCTGAGCATCAGCAGGAGATATCATAACTTACACCATATCAAAGGTCATAACTGAGCTTCATTCTTCTTGGAGATAGTCCAGTGTATGTGTACTTTTCCATACATTCTTCATAAAGTTCAAGCCTAACTTTAAAAATCATGACTACCTTATAAAGTCATGCATAATGTAAAGTTTAGTTAATTTTATTATCACTATATTCTGTCAGGGAATAATTTTGTACAAACATCCTACTGTAAAAGCTGCTTAAAAAGCAAAATTTTTCATTATTTTAACTTGCTTCAAGGAATGTCTTTCTTTTTGCATTACATGTACACCATTTACCAAAGAGTATCTGAATTTCCTCTGCATTGTAGTGTTTTTAAATCAACTAGAGCAGCTACATGTTAGAAAGATCTGGTATTCTTGGTAGATCAGCCTGAACTCTATCCTTCCAAAACTCGTAAGAATCCATTAAGATCTTTGTATATGTGTGTCTGAGTAAAGCAAACATCTGTTTGGGGTTACAGTTGCCCTCAAAGGTTAGATCTGACAGAGAGTAAATGTTTAAATACTGCAGCATTGGTACTGTGCTGACAGAGGCAACCTCTAGAACCAGATGTGAAAGGTTCTGCATTTCTTCTTCTGTATTCTGAATGACAAATAAACTTGCACCCTTTTAGCTTCAGACACCAAATTTGCATAAAAGTGGAGAAGTAGGAGCCATGAACCCGGTGATGGTCTTCGTCCTACTTACCCCAAACAACAATTCTCAGTTTAATAAGGCTCTTGGGCTGCGTGGCACTTCTATGCCCAAATTCCACCACAGAGAAGTAGGCAGTGAATTTGCCAGTTTTCTGTGAGGCTTCAGTCTCACTCTGGGGTACTAAGAAACAGGACTTCTTTACAAAATGAGCATTAACCTGGCAGAATAGATAGGAAGGAAACTCTTAGCTTAACCACATCTGGTTAAGTCTACCCATTGCCTTTGTGAGTGAGTTATGTTATATTTTGCACTTCAATGCAACATCACAAAAACAGAAGACAAAGCATTTAAGTAAAGTAAAGATTCCTTCTGTTTAACATGTATTACCATGTTAGAGACTTGCAGAATTACCTTTGCATTTCAGATGCGTAGAAGCAGTGTAAGGAACAGAATGAGCCAATGTGCTGATCTCCTCTTTGGAAAACCCCATCCCTAAATGTTTATATCCCTAAAGGAAAGCAATCTTCAGAGCTCGAGTAAGGAGCACATCTGGAGGAGCATGCTGCAGCTGCCCTCTGTATAAGGACCATTTTGTAGTGGTGTGGATGTTTGTACTGGAGATTAGCTGTCCTTTGAATATTACTCTGAAAATTGATCCTTTGGATATCACCCATCATAGTCTGCTCTTGAAGAATCTCAGTTACATTTCCCTCTTTTTCTATTTTGATTTACATTGGCTATTGTAATAATGGTCATTTTTTTTTCCTGTGTTTTGCATCCCTAGTGTAACAAAAATCATTATTTTCTGTTTCCTCTCACCTCTGCAACCAGTACATGAATTTTGTATCCCAGAGTATGTTAAGAGTGTTTTTTCTGGCACTTCTTTTCAAGAAGAACAAAAAGAAACTGATCATCTCAAAATAGTACGTTCCAATGAGAGTGAATATAATGACCATTATTAATCTCTGTACTGGAGAAATTGAGATGCCAACAATCCAGCATCTCCCTTAACGCCACAAGAGACTGATAAAACATGTTAGAGACTTCAGGAGACGGGTCTTCTAGTCTAGCATTTCTAAGCTTAGATCACATCTTAGGTATTACAGTTATATTTTTAAAAAGCAGGTCTTCATCACCAAACAGTTGACAGCAAACAGCATAAGGAATAACCGTTGTTAATATATCCCAGCCTTTCGGTTCTACTTAAAATAAATACATCTATTTAAAATAAATAAAATATTTGATTTATTAACTTTAATAAATTAAAAATAAATAGAGAAATAAAGATGCTCTATATTGAACAGAAACCTATTACACTCATGTAATGTGTTGAAAGTATACCTTATTTTAAATGTTTTATTGAAGGCCAACAGCGTCACGGATGATCGACTCCTTTGGCTGTGCATCTATTCACAAAATCGTGTTAGTTTAGGGTACTAGGTAGTACTGCCCGAGTTCTTGACTGGAACTGAAGGCATCCTGCAGTGTCTGCTGATACGGTTTGGGTCATTACTGGAGAATTCTGTTGAATGTTTTAAAACTAGGACAGTCTGAAGGTAAGGCTTACCAGCACTTCAAAAGTTACGAAGTAAAAAGGAACAGAAGATTTAGTCTGCTAAAGATGCGTTTGTCTGGTAGAAACAGTGTTCACCTTACGATAACCTGCATGTGTCCTTCGCAGGGGAGGAGCTGTGCACCGGCCTCATTTCGGGCTGTTCCTTGGACTGTTCCTTCGGCTTCCAGACTGACGTCCACAACTGTGAGATCTGTCAGTGCCGACCGCGGCCTAAGAAGTGCAAACCCATTGTATGTGACAAGTACTGTCCCTTTGGATACTTGTACGTATTCTCATTCTGAAAGCATATTTAATACAGTCCCTGTACGTTTTGAAAAGATGCAAAATCCAGGCATGTGTACTTGTGTTTACTTGGTGGCAAAGCAGGCGAAAATGTAGGAAAATAGAAATGTCATTACTTGATGTGAGATTAAAGTATTCTTCAAAAGGGATTTTGATCAACGGATTAAGAAACAGCAACTAAAAAAACAGCAGCGGATTGTAAAAGCAAAGTAGCGCTTAAATTTTTTTGAAGAATATTTGATGAACAAGATGAAAAAGCTGCTTACAAGTAATGTCTTTTGCATGTAGCTTTTTGAAATTCAGTTTGCGTGTTCCACTGTGATACCCTTTCATTTTATAGCCCATTTATTTTATTCAGATGTTTTTCTAATATTTCAAGGGTTTTTTAGTGTTGCTATGACAGCAGACTAGTGAGACGTCTCTTTAGTGAGATGTTTCTGATAGTTACTTTACAGGATTCATAAGAACAGTACCATCTCTTATTTCAGTTTTGGTAAATGTGTTCAGAACCTGTGTTGTTGCTAGAGTTCTTTCTCCATAAAAGGAAATATTTGCAGTATTTATTCATTTGTGGGACAGGTGATGAAACCTGGGCAGATCTTTTGTCGCATAGAAATTCCTTGCTAATCAGACTGCTGGCTTCTTTATATATTTTACCAATACATTTTATTATTAATGGGTAACATTCTATGTTACTGCCTGCTTTTCGCAGCGGTTTTATTTCTACCTCATGGCAGCTAATCTTCAGGTAGCATTCATATGTAACTTTTTTTCTTAGGATTTGTAATGAAGTTTACTAACGTTGCAACTCTTAGTGTTTGATATTAATACTCCTTTAATTTCTGGTTCATTTCAGAGTTCTGTTTGACACTTGTTCATAAATGCTGCAGGTTTTTATAACACTAATCTATAGTGTAATGTGTCCTTCTTTTAGTGCGCAGTTTTAATAAAGTTTGAAGGAATCAAAATATGGTAGAACCTGAATGACCAGAGAGGTACCAGAGATTTTAGAAAAATAGAAATCAAGCTGTAATGTAGTGACATTTGCACAGATTTAATCAGCTCTGCTTATAGATGGTGCCAGTGAAGAATTTCTATTCCTGCTATTCTTAGCAGCAGAACGGTGTGCCGCTTAAGTGCATGTGCTGGTTGACCTCCCTCTTCCTACCCATACAGCTCTCGCGCCGTGCCTGGCGCGAAACAGGTTATGTAAACAAAAAGCAGACCCATATCCCATGGAACAATAATGGCGCAAATATGCTGCAATACACAGCCACAAAAAAAAAAGTCTGAAGAATTTGTTTGCCTTGAAAACATTGAGTCACTTTTTTTTTTTCTACATTAGAAAAGATGCTTGACTTGTATCCTTCAGGCATCCCTAGTGTAATTTGAAAATATCTACGTAACAGCAGCCCAGAAAAATAAAGTAAAGTAATACCATTTAATATAATCTTGTATCTATTACCTGAGATACAGAATTAGGCTTGCCTTTGGTTACATGATAGCAGTTTTTGCAGGAAACGGCACTAATGAGAGTGATAGGATTGAAATAGGCAAAATGAGGGAAAGACAACAAAGATTAAATCAAACTTCACTTCTGTCCTCAAAACTCAAAGTTTAGTAGATGAGAGAGGAAAAGTAAAAATTTAAAATTAAAATGTTAATAAAATTGTCTTCAGGCATGTTGACTTCAAGAGCGGCTGAGAGTTATTTTCAGTTTTGCAAGTGAGAGAACATAGAGCGGGAGGGAAGTTTCAGAAAAAGGATGTCAGTTTTGTCGTCCCCAGAACTTTTGCCCAGTGGCTTCAAAGGCAAGGGTGGCTGAAGATGGGTAGCAGAACGAAAGAAATGTGAAAGGTTGAGCAGAAATAATGGCTGGTTAGATGTCTCAGTTTTTTAGATAGGATAAAGCTGCTAACATTAAGGATCAAAGGAGTGAAGTCAATTAAAACAAGTACAAAGCATGCAGAATCATTTAGAAAGCATCCAGGGAGTTTGAGCCATGCCATTGAGCAGGCACAAAATCCAAGATAAAGTCTTAAGAGACTGGGAGCCAAAGAGGCAAGTGGTGTTGGGGTGTCTGAAACTGTGAGAACTCTGTGATGGAATCAGCAGGAAGGGTGGCTGGGATGAGATGACAGCAGTAAAGGAATACAGCTTACAACTATATTCAGGCATTTACTGGAAATTGCCGTACAGTCCTCATATGGCGTAACCATTTCTCGAGGGGCACTGGCGACATTTGCGCTAGCTTAAATTTGATTTTGAACGTTGGCACAGAAGAGAGAAAAATTCTGGATAATCGCCATCAGAATATATTTCTTTTGTATTTGGAACAAAGGAAGCCATCTTTCTCGTTCCTGATACATGAAGCATCTTCAGTAGCAAGTACAGGATGCGAGCTCAGCAGTCTCCAGACTGTATATCTGAACATTTCTTTTCTGGTTTATATTTGTTTTAAAAACTATTTCCGTTAACAAGACTCAGTTACTGGTTGTTTCTTCAAATTGGTATATAAACTCAGTGGATTAATCTAATGCGGTATTTAAAGGCCACACTGAGGCTGTTGTATCTTGGGGTTTATACTTTTTTCATATTGTAGCTCTTAGTTTATTGTCTGTGGCATGGTTGGTAACTTAAAGCTATCACGACAGAATCTGAGAAGATTTTTGCCATCCACATGCTCAAGGAGTGTGTGCATGGATATGTTTAGATAACAGCAGAAGCAGTTGGTATGAACTACAGACATTTTTATTGTTTACTCACTGTGATTGAATATCATTCATCCTGGAACAGGAAAAGCTTTTTTAATTTTAATATTACAAGTGCATAAATGAATAAATTTATTTATTAAAAGGCCATTTGCTTTAGCCTATTCAAAAGTTATAATAGGAGAAAAATATTAAATAATAAATATTAAATAAGGTCTATTTAATGTCTTTTGTCATTGCTTTTTTGGACTTATACAGAAATAGCTTGAATATATTCATGAACCAAGGTCTAGGTGTTTCTTTCCATTCCAGCTAACTCTATTTTTTGACTTTTCTGCAGTATCCAAAGCAGTCAAGTTTGTTTTTCCTTTTGGTTTCTTTCAGTTTGCTACTACTGGTGTTCTTCACTGGCAATCCCAATGTAGATGTCACACTGAAGTGTTAAAAATGTTTTTCTACTGCTGCTAAGGATTATTCTGAACTAGACTTACCGAAGACATTTACTATTAATGTGTTTTGTGTGTAAATGTGTTAAGTTTACTGTTGCATTCTTTTAGTTTGTTGGACAATACCTTTCCCAACAGCATGGATTTAGGAAGAAATACTCTTTTTCACATAATGAGCAGGTTTGTCTGGTCTGGTTATATTAAACTGTAATTTTTGTTTAGAGGAAAGAGGACAGTATTTTTACAACTTCAAATCAAATATAGCAGAGACCTTAATAACCTGTGGTGAACTGAATATATTTTTTATCTTCAAAATTCTGAATCTTCAGTAAAAAGCAAATACTCTCTTGAGATAAGTTGAGCCAGTACATTTCCATTCCTGAGCCTGTGCTCCCAGTGTGTGTGACTGGCAGTAATGTTCTTAATTTAAGTGTACCTCACTATACATGACCAGGCCATGTATAACTGGGAAAAAGAACAGTATTTTCTTTGGTCCTGTTTTCTTCCTTAGCTTTCAGTAAAGATGCACCCCTTGCTTTTGCGTACATATATTTTTACTTTGCAATTTCTGGTTTTTACTTTCGTTTCTTAAGCAAAGGTGTCTCTTCACTGCTGCCTTCTATGCTTGTTTTCAGTACTGTTAGTTTTGCAGCGAAGCTGTCTCTTCCATGTGAACTGAATTAATTAATGAAGTAATGAACTTTGATTAATTCAGAAACTTGTTACTTGGTTTGAGAGGTCTGACTTTTCATGATCTCTCTCCCTCATGAATTGTGACTTGACTGGTTTTCTAAAGAAAGTTTTAAACCAAGATGAGGAAGATCCTTCTGTATAACTGGAAGATGACCCTCGGATTGCAGTGGAGTTGACCTGTGATGTTAAGGGTTATACTCTGACGCACCAGTTTAAATCATCATTAATACCTTTTTGAACAACAACAAAAAAAAACCCTGAAATCATTCTATTGGGCCTCCTCTTGGTGCACATTAGGTGAGATGTGCCTGAATTACTTTGAAAGGCCTTAAAGGAAAAATCTCTAAAAATGAGAAAGATAAGAACCCAAGAATAGAGCCTAATATACTTTGCACCTTAATAAGCTGATTTTCTGACCTGTAGAGTCTCTTAGTTTGTGTGGTCTGTGAGTATCATCCTGCTGATACCTGTGCCTAAGCGCTTACGGTGATTATTGTTAATAAATTTATGGTATGGGTCAATAGTAATCTCACTGACTGTATGGGGAAATCTAAAGGTGTTCATGCCATCCTCTTCAGTGTGGACATACCTGAAGCTTGCATAAATGCTATCTACCCAGAAATGGTTCAGTCTTCTGAATGAAAATCAAAGGGGACTGAAGAGAAAAAAGATAGATGGGCCTAGCTTTATATAAAGGAATTGATCATATCCTTCATTTTGCTGGAATGTTTTCCTGTAATAAAGGACTGATGTCTCCGTTTCTGAGAAGGATAGGTAAAGGCCTATGATTATAGGCCCAGTGATTTTCTAAACTCATGGAGGAAGCAGCCAGTGTCTAAGAAATGGTGTGATACTGTCACATAAAAGTAGGAAAAAATTAGAAAAATCGCAAGGTTTATGATGTTGAAGAAGAGAATAAGGAGACAGGATTTATTTCCTAGATTTATTAGGCTTACTTTTTACACCTGAGGAAGACTAAAACTACCAAGTAATATGCTTCAAAATGGAAACTCAGATCTTTGGAAATGGATAGTATCTGGAATTCAGTGAAAAGGAAGAAAAACAGTAAACAGGTTGAAGTTAAAAAGGCGTAAATTTTGAATCTTGCAATTTGCAACTATTCGTTGAAGTCCTAGACATGATAAAGTGACACCTTGATCGAACATTGACTCTCAGAGAATCGGGTATGGAGCATTTAACGGCTCGCGCAGGCGCTCGCCGGCCCAAGGCACGCTGCCTGCCCCATCATACGTGTCCCGCTCAGAGGAGTTGTGGGAGGTCGGTGAAACATCACGCAGGTCAGGACTGCTCCATGGGTTAGTGCTGAACCACACGTCTCATCTTCGAATAGAAAGCAGTACAAAAAAGATAATGTTCAACCTCTCACAGCATTGCAGTGCTTGTTGTAAAGAGTAGTCATTTTTAGCCTGTATGTATGACTCGTTTAGTATATTGACCTACAGAGGAACATTACAGATTTCTCTGTTTTCTGTACTTAGATAAGCTGAAACACACTCTCTTCTCTCTCTTTTTAACTAAAGTGTGCATAAAATAGTTTTATTAGAAAATCTGTGTGAACTATGTAGCAAAAGCATTTTTTTAAATTACAGCAAATATTAATGGACATCGTATAGTAGCTGGGAGTAATATAAAGATGTTTTAAAAACAAGTTCATTTCAAGCTGATGCTAGTGTTTTAGGAAGCCTGTCTTTGGGGTGATCCTTCCCTTGCATTTTTGTACACCTGAAAAAATAATAATTTAAATAATCTTCAATTTAAATTCTGGTTTTAAATGTAGAATGTAATTTAATTTTGCACAATACTTGGCTGGTATTTTTAAATTATGAGTGTTTAATAAGTCTTAAGACTATCGTAATTTTAAGAAAAAAAAATTGGAAGTGAACACCCTAATCTTGTCACTGTCCACAAAACATACAAATAATTGCACAGAATGAAATGAAGAACATTTAAAGATAACTATGTATGTAACAGTTTGCAGTACAAAGGACTAAAATTGTGGTAGGAACTAATTAGTTCTACTACAAGAAATGAAAGATCATTTCACTTCAAGTCTTACTTTGACGCTAAAATTATTTAGGTTTGCAGCTGTATAGTACATTTGTTCATTTTTTTTACTGCTACTGTGCCAATATTTTTCTGAAATAGCAAGCCTTACATGACTTCCAATCCTGTTATGACCATCAAAAGCATGGGATGTAGTGGGAGACAAGTCTCTATTTTAATGTAAAATTTTGGTCACAAATAGAAGACTAAAGAAGCAAGTATTAAAAGAAAAGTATATTAGAGAGTGAAAAGTTAAGGAGTAAATCATCATGTTTGTGATTATTTTTTGACTGCCAAAGGTTAGTAATTGGAAAATCTGAGTTTGTGTATATTTAAAGAAGCCAAAACCTTTTCACAATTGTCTGAAAAAAACTGCTCAATAGAGTTCACTGTTTGAAAGCTCTACACACTAGTGGAAAGAGGAATTTGTTTTGATATTAAAAAGGGCTGTGGTTACAAAGATTAAGGAGGAAAAAATAGATGGATAGGACAACAGAAAGCCTTCCATCCTCCATCCTACTGTGTGACAATTTGTTTTCCTTAGCCTTTTAACTAAAAATGAAATAGTTTTCCAGATGTTCTTCTTTAGCTTCCCATGTCTTGTCTTTGGGGGGGAACTGGTGTGCATTTAATGGTGTAGTGTTCAACGAGGCATCTGTCAGTTTCCCAGTAAATGTTTTTTCCCAGTTTTAGTGAGTTACCTCATTAGAGCGGCAAATTTATTAGCAGAGTCATGAAAATCTTTTTTTTTTTTTTCCCTCTTTGTCTTGAACTTCTTCATGACAACTCCCCGCCCCCCACCCCCATCATGGGAAGGCAGAGAAAATGACTCTATCTGTATATTGTGTATATAGTACAAGTGCACTTGTGCCTAAAGTTTGAATGGTATTATCTGTCAAATAGCAAGTAAATATTCAGTATAGGCTTCTCAGAAGCAGTATGTTTATGGTGCTGCGAAGAGATGCTGTCAGATGCTGCTCTAGACTCCTGCCGATCTGTACCTGGAAGCTTTGGAAGCATTTGTGGTCCTGATTCTCTGTACTCTGCTGAAAAGTTTTCTGGTTTTCTCTGTTTCAAAATATGTTACGATGTGTCTACTGCTTTTTATATGGGTTATGGGCATTCTGCATGCTAGTTTTCAAGTTTTGTGTCTGCTTATTCAACATTTTCAGAAATATCCCTGTAATTTTAATATGCAAGAGAGGAAATCTACTGTACTTTATCTATTGTTGGCGGAAAAAAGTTAACAGTAATTTGTGTTATAAAAATGTAGTAATTATAACAGATTCCTACCTACCCCTCCAACTTCTTCAGTTTTAGAAGTTATTTTTTTCTACTTTCTCACTTGGAAAAAGAATTGATCATCAATAGTAGTCACAAGCACATACATCTATATTATCTGCTATGGCTTGAAAGTGCCAAATGCAGAGATTTCGCCAGTCACATGGAGGGAGCACATGCGAGGGATGGAGACCCGCACACCCCATAGACCCCCTGAACCTAAAGGTTTCATGTTGATGATAATTTTCTTTACTTGATCAGCCAGTTCTTCAGGGGATGCTTTTGCTTTAAAGATCATGACATGTAGATATTTAAAGCGACCTGCTAACCTTTTACAAATTATTTTGGTCGTCTAGGAAGAACAAGCATGGCTGTGAAATCTGTCGGTGTAAGAAATGCCCAGAACTACCTTGTGGTAAAATCTGTCCGATGGGCTTCCAGCAGAACAGTCATGGCTGTGTGATCTGCAAGTGCAGAGGTAGGTGCGAGTGCATTACCACCTCTAATTACAAGTTTTTTTCAAAGCAGTTGGAAGCTAGAGCAACAGAAAAGCAATATTGCACAGAATATGTAAGAATGGAAATAGGGTAACCGGTGGGGGAGTCGGTTCAACTTTGCTCGAAGGAGTGTATTGTTTTGCAGGCGTTTGTTATTATCTGTGTTCATCTTGGCTTCAACAGAAAGCCTCAGCTCCACTTTCATCTCCCATTACAAAGTCGCAGAAGTCAGTTCATTATCATTAATGAAAATTAGATCAGGCTCTTAATAAGTAACTACTAGAAATAAGCTAGTTGAGGTTTGGGGTTCTTTTCCAGCAGCAGTGTTCATCTTAGCTTCTTCACCATCATCTTTTCTTTACAAATGCAAGTTTTGTGTTTGATAGATGCCCTGTATGCCACCGAAAATTAGAGTGCTGTTCCTTGGACGCTTTTCAGGTGGTCTCAAGGAGCAATGACTAGAGTGCATGCTTACCCAGGAGAAAGGACTGGGTATTCTTAAGCTAAAGATTTGACACGTGCAACATCCAAACCTGTAACCACCAAGTTCAAGGTGGAGATTGAGATAAGATGTTCATTAATTACTTGCTTTAATTTTTGTGCTGCATTTAACACATGTCTCTCTTAAGATATATTTAGTTTGTGTTTGGTATTAGTCTGGGTATCAGACTTCTTTCATTGCTCATCTTCATGTGTCACATATAATAATGTGTCGTTTGTGCTCAGGCTCTCTCTGATCCTAACTGCTCTTTCATGCTTATTTTCTTTGACTCTTACTTGTGCGTTTTGATTTCTAGGTACAGGCAAGTAAGTTTGAGTATTTTCCTATTGCTTTGTGTAATGACTCCATTCTTAACTTCTTTAGCAGCTATTTCTTTTGCACATTACAAACCATTAAAATATAACAAGACAAGCTATGGGAACTGGGTCTGGAAGAAACTATATGAGTTCCTGAAGTCACTCTCCTATAGTTGGAGGCAAACATGGAATCATACAAATCAGAAGGATTCGACATTATATTTTCTCTACGTTACTTTATACACTGCAGATAATTATAACAAAACTTTTAAGATTTCTAGCAAAAAAAAAAAAATTGAAATGTTATAAAGGTACCTTGCAGATATGAGAAGCAGAGAGATTTCACTGATGTAAGCTGCAATATGTGACTTTTAGAAATTAAAAATTTAAAAATAAATAAGGAAGGGTCGCTGCTGCATGGAGTCCCATTGAGACAATTCGCATCACTTTTCATTTGTCTCCATGTTCACAATTGGCACACTTTTCCTGATTGTTGTGGTGCTGTGATGGAATATACACAAGATGTTCTTTTAGGTGTGGCATAATTGCATCCCAGACTATTCAGATGCAACTCGTCAGTTACTAATTCTGTGTATGCACACTTTTAAGTGCTTTCCTTAACAAGGATGGATTTTTAAACATGCAGAAATATTTAGCAAAAATAACTTGATCCCTCTCTAAGTAGTATTTATTGTTATCACGATCATAAAGATACTGAGCCATGAGCATATCACTTCAACATGATCATTAGCAACTTGTCCAAGAATAATTAAAGCAATCACCAGTGTTTTGGGGGAGCTGTGAGTCCGTATTAAAATTTTTACCCAAAATCCCTAAGTAAGAGGAAGGGATGGGGAAATCCCCTGCCTCTGAATTAGCTCCGCTTTCTAAATTGTTTCTGCCAGAAGTAGTTTACACTAGGATTAATAGAAGTAGAACCATAGAAATACAGGGCTGGAGTAGAACTCTGGAAAACTGAGAGTTCATTTCACTTCCTTCACATAAAATCGAGTGTATCTGGATAATCCTTGACAGATGTTTGTCTAAGGTTTAATTTATTAAGAATCTCCACTCTCAGAAGAAAATTTTTAAAAAAATCCTCTCTAAAAATTTTTTTTCTGTGGTAACTAATATGTGACATTGTAAAATATATTTTCTAATACTTCTGTCTCCCTTTCTACAAATTGAACCAGTTACTTCTTGTCCTAAGCTCAGCAGACATGTGGAACAGCTAAGCACCATTCCCTTTAGAATTCTTGCCATATTTAAGAGGTTGCAACTGGAGCCCCCTAAACGTTGGGGTTTTTTGTTTGTTTTTTTTTTAAGGGCGGTGGGGTGTCTAGGTCAAACCCAATTATTACAGTTCAAAAACTGGATATTGTACTTCAGCAGTAGCAAAACTAGTAGAGATAGTAGTACTGCATTTAAATTTACAGTGCTGCTGTACTCATATCTTAGATTGAACTTGCCTTCTCCGCAGTGGTATCCCATTGCTGACTCATCTTTACTTGTGAGCGACTATAATCCTAGATCATTTCAACCATACCTATAGTTATCCAGTTATTCCCATTTTGTATTTGGGCATTTGGTTTCTTCTTTAAGCATTACGTTTTGTACTAATTTTAATTAAAAACTGAAGAGTTAAAACAATCTCAGTTTAAGTTAATTTTGAATAGTTGCCTGTATGCTTGGTTTGTTTCTCCAAATTTTGGAGTATACTTTAGAATATTTCAGGAAAAAAAACGCTTCATTACATCAGATACTTCATTAAGGAGGGGGAAGGGTATTACCATTTAAGACTTCTGTGTGTCAGTAATCATTTTAATGTAGAACAGTATTCCAGTGATAGTAATTCAAATAGGAATTAATATATAAGCTGATACTAAAGTATAGAAGTGTAGTAACGGAATGTAAATTGTTTTCATAATATTTCTGTTCAGCAATAGAATTAAGTCAATTTTAAGAATTATTTTACCCTTATGCCAGGGTTTTTTTTTTTAATTCACATCATGAGATACTAATGTAATTTCTGTGCATTGGATTCTTATTCTGATAACATGCATCAAACTAACTTCGCACTGTCTGCTTGTGGTTCTTGGACCACCTTTGATAGATCTGCCACAGCTGAAGAACTGCAGACCTACATGTTAATAAAAAAAAAAAAAAAAAAACCACAACAAAAAACCACCAAACCCACACCTATACTAGAACTAAATATCAACATTACTACTTTTCATACGGCATCCTTTTTTAACAGAAAATTAAATAAGCAACTTACAAATGTATGAGGTTATTTGTATTAGGTGTCAGCAGAATATGGTTGACATACCGCTGAAAACAAGACAGTTCACAGAGAAACTGATCCTAAATCCTTCATCATAATAACGATGTAGGTGAGGGAGTGTTGGGCTCTAAATTGACTCTGCTCATTAACAAGGAATATATTGAGGCTGAATCCTGCAGCGCTTAAATAGCCCTTAAGATACAAGTGAGACTTTATCCTCCCTAGAACAACTGCTTGTGTGTTCTGGTTGAGTGCAAGTAATGCAGCAATCCAAGCTACTGTATTCTCATCTCCGTAAAAGCTAGGAATAAGGGATAAAATTCTCAGAGCAGTTATCTTCCAAACATCTCATTATCCTAGTAATATAAACAAATAATTTCTCGCAGGTGAGTGTTTTATGAAATATTTCCAGTATCTAGCATGACCCTATTAGAACTTGCTTGTAATATTTTTTCATTCATGTTATGAATAAGACCATCCTTAGCTCTTGTAGATGATTTTGTATTCTACTTGTTATCAGGTACTCCAACGACAGATGATTAATACTCCGTAATATTTAAATATTTAATTTTATTTCTAAGTGCAAAAGATAGTATTATTATTCCCCTAGTCTTAATATGTTCTTTAAAAATAAATACAATCCAGGTATTAAGTTGGTGTGTTTTTTTCCCAAGCGACACACGCTTATCAGGACGCTTTGTTTTCCTTTGATTTTGTGCAGAGGCAACCGCTTCTGTTATGCCTCCTGTTAAAACAGGCTCTTGCCTGTCGATGGATGGGCGCCGACATGAGAACGAGGAGAGCTGGCACGATGGCTGCAGGGAATGTTACTGTCACAACGGGCGGGAGATGTGTGCCTTGATCACCTGCCCCGTTCCTAATTGCGGCAACCCCACCATACACCCAGGGCAGTGTTGCCCGTCATGCCCAGGTAACATGCTTTCTTCTATATGCTTTGTAATCAGGTTTCATTTCACATGTGTTCTGTTTCCCAATACATGCAAGTAATCTCATGCATCATCCAGTAAGAGGTATGTATGAAGGTTTCTGTGCCCAAATATAACATCATGAGTGACTTTCATTAAGATCTCGGATGTGAAAAATGGGAACTTAAATATTTAAAGCATATGCATGTTGTGGGTCCTAAGATGTTAATCTTTCACACATCGAAATCTTTAAACTAGAAAAAGTTTCTAGTCATTATTAGCTGTAATAGCTATGTACTCATATACGATTTTGTTACTTATAGTAGCAAGTATTACAATACGCCATTACACTTTCTCTTTTTTAGTTTGAAGTGGAGTTTTATTAAAATTCATCTCCTGATCTATGTTTCACAATCCCTCAAAGGAGTACACATTTAAACAGATGTCTTAAGTAATTGAATATTATGATTCTGCGTTCTGAGGGAAGGCTTCTGTGCCACCAGCAGTAGATTATTTTAATGCTTTAGGTGGGAAGGCCAAGTACAATTAATGTAGCATTCTAATACAATTTTAATAATAAGTGTTAATATGAAAAACATTTATGAAATGAAAAGTGTGGGTAGAGTATAAGATTAATGCCCTCTGTCTTCAGAATGATTCCTACAATATTTTATGTGCTAAATAGATTAATTTGTAATACAATGATATTGTCTATGACTTTATTGGAAGTCATGTTACAGGAACAACAAGGCTCATGATACTACTATGAATAGCAAAACGCTAAGACAGCACTGGCAAGGTACAAGCAATTATGAACTGTTTCAGATTCTTTGTAAAGAGGAGGAAATCCTGGGGGCAAAATAAGCAGCCAGATCTTCTTTCTGAAAGTGAGATAATGTATCCTCCCTTCCTAGGACCTAAGATAACTGCTGTGTTTAGATTGCTTAGACAAGCGGTGATCTCCAATCCAGTTCACACCTCCCTGTGCTAACTGGAAAACACAGTCCCCAAAAAGATGAGGGACTCCCAAAAGGTTTGTCTGCCTTTCAGCCTTTCTCAGCCTGCACCGCGCTCCTCCCCTCAGTATTGAGACTGGGCACACAGTGTCTGTGGTTCCTGTGGTTCCAGGGCCAGCCGTGGTGTTGCTTTGGCACTGGCTTTCATGGAGCCAGAGCTATTTTCAGTGCTAAGTAATTTGCCAGTGGTTACGGAGGCCAAGCTCTTAGTGCTTAGCGTCTTAATAATGCCAACCACTAATGAAGGTTTTAGCTGAGATGGAAACACTAAGGAGTTACGCGCACTAGGGGAACCATCCTTTGCTTGCTTGCCTCTCTCCCATTATCGAGTATATGGATAGTCTGACAAGGAATTCAGAAATCATAAGATTTTTTTAAGGGGAACCTTAGTGTTTTATCAGCTTGGAGCACACAATTTTGCCACAGCAGTATGCAGTGTTGGTCCATACGCCTCCCATCAGGTATTGTCATTCTTTTCTCCAGCTCCCCTGGCACATGCACATCCACAGTCTGTCTTAAATAGCACAGTTCTCTTCCCTATGAAACCTCAGTCTGTTAAAAAAAAAAAAAAAAAAAAAAAAAAAAAACCACAACAACAACAACGATCCAGTTGTGAATATGGTTCCAGGAGGAGCAGCCAAACAACAAGTGATAAATACAGAATGTCATATTCCTAAAGTCATGTCACTGGACAAGGATGTTGTTTTTTACTCACAGTAGCTGGAATTTGGGGCAGCACAGAACTGTTGGAATACGTGCTGTAGTCACTCACCTTGCCACAATGATTTGTGTATCGTTGTAGGGGACAGTATACTTCATATGGATGGGGACAGGTTAGCACGTCAGTCTTGCATTAGATAAACATTCAAGATTCAAAATGTAAAATGTAGGATGGTTGTTCCAGTTCCAGCAATTCTGTTGTTAGGTCCCCAAGACTTTTCCCGGTTTCACTCTACTACCAGCATACTTGTGCATATTGATTTATCTAACACACACATAACATCTCAGAGCATTCAAATAAGAGTAGTGTTAATTTTAGTCTTTCAGCAGCACCAGCGGCTAGTTACTTTGTGTGTGGAGAATGAGGGTGGTTACATCCATTCATAAGTCTAGTGTTCAGTTCATGGAAGAAACATCAGTATAAGAAATAAGCAGTACCTATCTGCTCATATTTCTTGGGGATGAGATCAGTGTTTGATTCTGAGCATGAGCAATGTTGGTCTCTTGTATAAAAGAGCAGTTGCTTACCCAGTAGTGTCCGTTCCTTTGAGATACAGTGTCTGCGTAGGTTTCTTTGACATCCTTTCCAGCTTTTGAGGTACTAGTCTCCTAGCTTCTGTCAGCGAAGTCGTACTTTGTGTACACCCTTACAATGCTTGGGCAGACACAGCATTTTTTTAAAGTGATTGCATATGTGAGTGTATGAATTAATATGGCCAAATTAGTCCCAGTGTGGTTTTGTTTCCCCCACTGCGGTTTTCTGTTTGTTAGAAAAACACTCTGATTTTATTTTGCAATGTATTGATTTCCCCACTGACGTTGTTAAATCAATATCATGGATTTCAGTAGATAGGAATGCAGTTTGGAGTTGTGAGACTGTGAGCAAGTCACTCGAATGTGTCTGGCATAAGGATATCGAAATAATTAGTAATCCTGATGTACTGAGTTTTGAATTGCATTAATGTACTTACAGAGAAGTGGCAGCTCTCAGAGATCATTTTTCAGACTGAGAAAGTGGTTATGTTCGATTTCATATTTAGTTAGTTTACAACAGAGCGACATATACCTTGACTGCTACAACATTCATTATAACCAAGGTTCTATATATTAAGAGGTTTAAGTGGATTGTCGCAATGCTTGTGAAAAGCTCCAGCTTTCCTGTAAGATTTAGAAGGCCACTAACTGCCAGTGTTTTGCAGAACCATGCTTCCCAGAAAGAGAGTATTTGTTTGGCTAATTGCTCCTTCAGGAATATAATAGTTCTACGTTTGTAACAACTCAGTTGCGGTGATATATCAATCTCAATGCTGATAAGGGAGCAGTAAGCAATACCGTATGTACAATACTGTGGTTATGCTTTTCTGACTATGAGCAGTATATGAGCTGTAGTGAAACGGGCCTGTGACTTTGCAGAGAACTAAATGCAAAGGAGGTGACTGACAAAATTTCCAGAAAATAATTATTATTGCCTTTGCCATGGTGAGTTAGGATGTCATTGCATAAAATGTAATATATTGTGGCAGCTGAAATAAAAAACAAACAGTGACAAGGCAGCAGACCAGCTACTCACCTCAAGTAAATGCTACTGAATCACATATGTGGTTCATAAATGTAAGCAATAGGAAAAGCATAAGCATAAGCGAGTCAGTGAAAGATAAAATAATTCCATTAAAGAAGAAATGCACAAGTACTTTGTGACTAGACTAAGATCGGTCAGAGTCGGGTTCCTTGAGTGCTACGGGTCATTCTCCAGAAATGAAAACAAATTATTGAGTGGTGTATCTTCTACATGGCAATGTCATAGAACAAAGGGCACAAACGCCATTCTCCAGACAAGTACAGCAGTGCTACAAATGTGTAGAGAAGCACACACGCTTTGTGAGCTTTGGGCTGCTTAAATGACTACAGGAGCTGCTATCCATTCCATTTTTCTTAACCAAGGTATTTGGCTTAGGGTGGTGTGCATGTTAGGCATCTTTATAATTAAGTAGGAGAGAGGCACCTTCAGAAAGGGGTTTTAGAGATGCAGAGTCATTACCTGGAAGTCACTTTCTCATCCCCTCTCTTCATAGCACAGGGAACCTGAGGTAGCTCAGTTATTGGCATAGGCATTTAACTTAGTTGTCCAATGTTAGGTGGGTTGAATTCAGGCTGAAGGACATCACTTTCAAGCCTGAAGCTTCATGTTGCAGCATGTAGCTTTCAAACTCATGGCTCTTGTAGTTGAATAAAACATGCTGTGTGAGGCATTTCAATTCCTGTACACAGTGCATGGAAAAAGCTGGTTGACTCACTCCAGGTCCAAAGCAACCAACATGTTATGGTAAGGTGACAACTATTATCGCCCTTATTGCCCCTTTTGTGCGGGTTGGCTTCGTGCATAACCTTTTCTTGATGCTAAGTGCTTAAACGCTTTCAAAGTACAGCACCGGTTTCTTTTTTCTTTCAAAACACCAAGAGGTAAAGAGTTCCCCCATTTTTTTAACACCTCAGTGATTGGAAGACATTCCCACTGAACAAGGGAAACAGTTTCAGTTCCTTTCTGAACTTGAAGGAGGTCAAATCTATTCTCTAAACTGCCTGGGTCAGAGGCTGGGTGAGTCTTTGAGCCAGGGCTGTAGAGGTAATGTAATTAACTGTGTGAAAAGGAATTAAGGTTCATTTGGTGAGATACAGTCACTGGAAACATGAGTCTCCTTGGGTGCAGTTTTTACTTCAAAGACTGCAGATCTTTAATTATTTATTTATTTTAATGAAATTAAGTGATGGAGCACTTCCACCAATGTTGTGTATGTATGTTTTTAGGGACTTGGGTGGGGGATTCTGTCTTTTTCTTTTTCTTTTTTTTTCTAATCTGGCACCAAATGGTACAGACACATATCACTCGAGGAACTTAAAGGCAGACAGTTGAATCTAGACTTCCTAAATCATAGAAACATAGAATAGAGTCATAGAATCTTTGGGTTGGAAGGGACCTTTAAATGCCATCTAATCCGACCCCCCTGCAATGAGCAGTGACATCTTCAACGAGATCAGGTTGCTCAGAGCCCCGTCCGACCTGACCTGGAATGTTTCCAGGGATGGGGCATTTACCAGCTCTCTGGGCAACCTGTGCCAGTGTCTCATGACCCTTATTGTGAAAAAATTTCTTCCTTATGTCTAGTCTAAATCTACCCTCTTTTAGTTTAAAACCATTACTCCTTGTCCAGTTGCAACAGGCCCTGCTAAAAAGTCCGTCCCCATCTTTCTTATAAGCCCCCTTGAAGTACTGGAAGGCTGCAATAAGGTCTTCCTGGAGCCTTCTCTTCTCCAGGATGAACAACCCAATCAAAAAAATGCTAGATAAAGAAGCATACTTATCCATCCTGTCAGGAATTGCACTCATGCTAATATTTAGCGGTTACGAAACTGTCTGATTAGTATAATTCATCAGAAAATGACAGTTGTCTCTTGGATATCCTACATCAGAGATTTTGATGATTGAGTTTTTCTGAAATGCCAAGAGTGAAGGTATCTCTGATTTATATTAACTTGCATCTATTCAGACTGATTCTCAAATTGTTTCTTGTTTATATTTTTCTCATTTTCAATGAGATGCAGGTGACGTAAAGTCAAAAGTGATATAAAGTTGCAAGAGCTTCATTAAGAATATATTTATATCTGGTTTTTTTATTCCTAATATTTTCAATACTAACAGAGATTATTAATCTTGGGTACATTTGTTAATCATTAGAGTCACAGCTGATTTTGTCTGTCTTCCAATTCTGTTTTTCCCAGATGAAATAATCGTGCAGAAGCCAGAGCTCACCAGTCCGTCAATCTGTCATGCTCCTGGTGGGGAATACTTTGTAGAAGGAGAGACATGGAATATTGATTCTTGCACACAATGTACATGCCACAGTGGACGTGTCCTGTGTGAGACTGAAGTCTGTCCACCTCTTCTTTGTCAAAACCCCACCCGCACACAGGACTCCTGCTGTCCACAGTGCCCAGGTATATATTGACAACCAGTTTTCATCAGAATCCTTTCTTGATCTGAGAATGTGTGGTGTGAATATTGAATGTTTCAGTATGTGCACAGTAGGTTGTTGTGGTGCCTTTATTCTCTAGCAGTTTGGAACGAGAGCCTGCGGTCCTCTGTTTCAACTGCAAAACCTGGCTGTGTGCAAGAAACATCTTAAATGTAAGCGGGGTTGTGGCTCTGAAGTTTGAACATCGTCTTTGAAGGCAATCTGATAATGTAAGGGTTGCATGAGAACCAGAATCCTTAATTGGCAGGTTTATGAAATATGCACTGGATCGTTTATGGAAACGTGCAGGATTAGAGAAACTTCGAAAGCAGTCAAAGTGCTAGGCAGATACAGGCTTGTCTCTTTTCCCTTCTACATGCCCTGGTTTCTATGAACCCTTTTATTACTATCTTGTTTATTTGGGATTTGGTCTCAAAAATACTTCTGTTTGCTTTTACCTTCACCTGGCATGATTTAAGAATGACTTGAAGCCAACTGAGTAATATTAAAGCATTCCAGCCCAGCAGGTGTGCCAGATTCCTCCTAGACTGCCTCACAGTGTCAAGAAGGTAACATGATTTGCTTTCCCTCAGGAAAGAGATGCAGTTATAAATGAACATGAATCCTATTTTACATAGGACATGGGGAAGTTTATTGCAGCGGAAATTTATTCCAAACCTGTGGATTATATGTAAAGTCATTGAGAAAATATTTGTCTTTATTAAAAACAAAATCTAAAAATTTTACTTTAGGAAAAAAAAAGTTAGGTTTTGCCATTTCTTCTACAGGGTGTTTTTGGGGGGTTTTGGGTGTGGTTTTTTTCCTGACAAAATAGTTTCAATGAAGAAGTTAGCCAGTTATCCTGACTTCCATTTTTCTCATTATTAGTAACAGTGATCATTCATTTTGCTTAACTTCAAAGTACTGTTTTGGAGGAGCTGATCTTTCCTCACTGGCTATACAAGGAGCTTAGTCTCATAACTTAAGCAGTTAGATTGAGAACCTGATCCGAGTGTCCTTATGAATGTTTTTTTTTTTCTTCTCCTTTTCTTATATGTTCTTTGCATGTACAGTAATATTTCTTGATGAATAAAGTCTGTTAAGATACAGCTTCATTGCAGAAATATTCCTCCCCAATGTGTGGGCAGGAAAATTAAAGCAGACCCGTTGGCATCAAGCTGAAGCCCGATCAAGTTCCATTTGTTTCTCAACAGCTTATAATTAGCTCATATAAGTCCACTAGCAAAGGTGTCAGCAGCATAATAGCTTTTCGCTTTGCATCATTCAAGGATTTGAACTGATATGGCAGAAGCTGGGATTCAGATTTTAGATGTAAAATTTAATCTCTCTAATTTTAGGTGAATTCCTATATACCATTCAGTTCAGAGCATTCAGAATGGTTTTCTGAGGGGCTGCTTCTGATGGTGATTGTTTTTCACTTTGCTGTCCTCTTTACTCTTTTTTTTCATTTTTTTCTGGTTTTTTTTTAGTAAACTCAGTAAAGGTCTAAATCAACTTTATTCTAGAGCACATCATGAGATCCTCACCACATGTAATGACTGAACAGGCATAAGGCCATGTCCTAGTTCTTCTGAGGTAGTGAGCTAATGTGTGTTCTCCCAAGAGTGAACCCTGTGTTGAGGAAATATGAGAGAAGTTAAGTCCTGTAAGTTAAATAACTTAATCTATTTATATTTTCAGATGAGCCTCTTCAGCCCTCTTCATCAAGCAATGAGAGCATGCCCAGTTATTGCAAAAATGATGAAGGAGATATTTTTCTGACAGCTGAGTCCTGGAAGCCCAATGTCTGCACTAGCTGCATTTGCATGGATGGTGTGATTAGATGCTACTCTGAGTCTTGCCCACCGGTATCCTGTGAGAGACCTGTTTTGAGAAAGGGACAGTGTTGTCCTTACTGCATTGGTGAGCAAATAACAATAGTTAATAACTTGCTTCTCCCTTCTTGGGAATAAGAAAGAAGTTTTATTTCCAAACTGAAATATGTTTTCCCTGTTTTGGGGAGATGGAGTTTGTGCCTTCAGTTGAACTGGAGAGTCAAATCTGCACAGGGAGCTTTGAGGATCGTGATTTGTGATTTTGAGGTGGAAGTGTAGGAAGGTATAAATGTAATTTGCCTACAAACTTGAGAGGACATCCTCCTGAAAACTTGGCAATATACCTTACTAGATGCAAACATTACACAAAAATTGTTTCATTTAAAGGAAGAATGATTCATTTAAACTTCCAATTATGATACATGTTATTAATATACGCTGTATTATGTTGTCAGTATGTTTTGTGGTCTAAATAACTGAAATTCATGCAAACTTACTTTTTTTAATGGTTTCTATGAACTATATACTCTTGCCTTTAAGAGGAGCAAGGTCATGCTCCTCAATTTTTGTCTTCCTGATTCTTACTGTTTCACGCTTCATTTCTGAAGATCTGTGAAGCATATCTTTGTACAGATTCTTCTTTACTATTTTCCTCTAATAGTTGATAAAACGATTAGTAGGCAACCTCTGTGGAAACAGGCCTTCTTCATTTATTGGAATTTCAAAAATTATGCAGGGTTTTAGCACTGTATTTTATTCTGCTTCTTTCTGAATCCAGATCTGGTTAATGCCTAACAAGTTAATATAGATTCCAATTCAAAATTTTACAAGCCTTGGATGCTTTTTGTTTGTGTGATCCTCAAATTCATCCTGTGTGTTCAACATTCTCCTTTCTCATGCAAAGAAAGATTAAATTGGAGAGATATCCACTCTAAAGTAGAAGATTAGAGGGATATCTATTTGATTAGAGGCAAGATTAGTCTTCTGCAGAAAACAGAGCAACGACCATTTGTTTGTTTACCAGATGAGATTGATTTACTGGTGCAGCTAGAGGACATTTGAGAGGACAGGTAGAGCTAGACACGGTATTCTGAACTGCATTTTTGTATATGGGTTTCTTACTGCAATCTCTCATGTTCACACTGTCCTTGAGCACTTGTTGATGTTGTGGCCTTCATCTTCATCCTGTGCTTATACTTGTGTAGAGTTGGACACCAAAACAGGAGACACACACAGGATAATGCTTTCTTAGTACTCGAAATTTTCCTTTCGAGGTTCAAAGGTGCAACACTGCTATTGTGATTTTACCTTTGTTCATTCTTTTAAAAAACATTTACTGTATTAAATTGTGATGTGTTCTTTACAAACTTGCAAAATCCTGATCGATTTAAAGGACTTTTCCAGCCAAACCAGCTGCTGAGTTGAAGCTGTGCTGAGTGGGGCAAGGTGACGCTTTGAGAGCAAATCGGCCCCACGTGCACAGGGAGTTCTTAGCTTTAGGTTTGCAGAGGACTGCTCAGGCTGTGTGCCTCACCCTCTCCCCAGCCGTATCTACTTTCTGACCAGCACAGGGATCCACTGGCTTTATATGCCAACATGCAAGTCATTTATGGAAGAACCTAATGTCCTTTCTGCAGCTTGCAGCCACCTTTTCCTCCCACTCTTCCTTTCCCATGTCCACCCCATATTCACTTAGAAGAACTTCTACTTGGAGAGGTTGGGACCCATATGTACAGCCATGGAAGCCATGGGATCCCCATACCAAGGCTGTTTGGAACATTTATGCTTTTCAGATAATTCCATTAGTATTTTCAAAATAGTACTTCTTGCTGGTCTCCTTTTGCATTTGAATTTACTTTGTCCAGATCTGTTGCACTGGTCTGCTGACTGCTAACCTTGTTAGATTCCAGATGATGTCAGTCTATTTTGTTGTCACTAATTAAAAGCTGTACTGATGACCAAATTATTTAATAAGGCTTTTTATTTATATTTGGGAGGTAATTCTAACCGACATTTATGTATGTAATCTGTGTGAATGTTAAACCAGTATTTCTTTGACAGCTTAAGAAGTGACTTTGAGATTTCATTCTGTTACCTCATGCATATCTTTAATCTGCAAATTCATGTCATCAGCAGGTTTCATCATAATAATTTCTGCCTCTAAAAAAAAAAAGGTAGCAAGAAGCTAAGATGAAAATGAGGTGCTGCTTGGCTTTTGGAGGTTCTGCTGTGTAGTTTGATTATCTATAAAGTGCTATAAGAGCAAAAAAACATCTTAGGCTAAGCAATGCATGACTGTCTTCTCGGTGAAACAGAAATATGCTGCAGACCACCTAAAAGGCTTGCATAGGATGCGGCATAAAAACAGACGGTGCATTGAATGCTTAGGCAGAAAGTGAATGCTTCTTTTAAGTGTTTGCCCAAGACCTACTTTCTTCATCAAGTCCAGGTCCCTATTAAGTACTGTGTCAAAATCTACCTGAAGACATGTTAGCTTTACAGCTCTCAATCTTTGGGAAAGGTGTTCTGCAACCTCAGTGTTTCTGAGAGTATGGATCACACCAATTTCCAATTTATATAATACTAACCATGAAAAAAATGTACTGAGTTTGGTTGTGTTTGGTTATTGCCCTTTCCCTGGGGTTTTCCATTGATGCAGTTACAGGGAATGATCAGATCCCCTTCGAATCTGTTTTATCGTAATAAATAGTTTAAGCACTTCTGGTTATGTCACCTGAGAGTTCCTTCACACTTCTTGGCATCTGCCCTAATCTTTTCTTCGAATATTCCAGACTGAATTCATCTTTCTTGAACCTTGGTAATTAGAAATGTAAGTAGTTTGGTTTTTTCCTTAGTTAAGTAGGATTTACTAGGAAACGAGGAGGAGGAGTTGGCAGTCTCAAACTTTAAAAAAAAAAAAAAAATCAATTTTTCTTAATTTTCACAGCATTTTTGATATTATCATTTCATGTCCCAATCATCCATCCTCTAGCCTCTTGCATGAGGAAAATGAGGAGAAGCAGCCCAGGCTAATTATGTACTTCATAAAGAAGCAGAAATTATACTTTTTTAACAAAGAATTTCTGGAAGATGTAGAGAGGGTTTTTTAATTACAGCTGGGATTTCTTTGTAGCTATTGTTTCACTTTTGTGTTTGGGGAAGAAATCAGATTTCTGTGTAATTGGCCATTACCACATGATCACACCACTCTGTTTTCCTTCAACAGAAGATACAGTTCCAAAGAAAGTGGTCTGCCACTTCAACGGAAAAACATACGCAGATGAGGAACGCTGGGACATTGACAGCTGCACGCACTGCTACTGCCTGCAGGGTCAGACTCTCTGCTCCACTGTCAGCTGCCCACCTCTCCCTTGTGCTGAACCCATCAACGTGGAGGGAAGCTGCTGTCCTATGTGTCCAGGTAACGTGATGCGACAACCCAGATTACTGTAACGCTGGTTTTCCAGGACTGATAGTAAGTTTTTTCAATTGGTCTTTGAACGTCAGTCCATGTTTGAACAGTATGAAGAAGACAACAGGCATTTAGTCTTCAGGAAAATGAGTATTCTTAGCAGATAGGCATATTGTGCAAATACGTAGTTTGAATTTTACTTATTCTGAGAACTGTGAACTCAAAAACTAGTTGCTTGCCCCTGCTCTGTCCATTCACAAGGTTACGGAAATACATTAAGAAGTAGGAAAATGAATATTCTTACATCTCTGCAGACTCTGTCAGTGATTAATGTTTCTGTCTTTTCCAAGTTTCTCTGTTACTTTTCAAATATCGCATTGCTTTATTTATAATTTTAACTTGGATTAAAAGTAATATGAAATTTTCTTAGCTGTGGCCACAAGGGACATAAGAATTGCAATGGTTTTTAATGCTAGTCCTGACATACTTCTGCAGGAGTTTGCTCATCTTAGCTGGTGACAACTGGGGAGCTTCAGCACTACACCCCCTTGCAATTCTCCTGCTTTGAGGATTACAAAAAAAGGCAGGCAAAGAAACCAGCAGTGACCGTTCACATATGAGCTGGGATGATGTAGCCTTCCCTTGGTATTTTTCCTGCTTACTATCACAAAGGAGCAAGACTGTAGTGAAGTGTGTAGTCTGAAATGGTATTTTCAAAAGCAAATTTGTCCACAGGACTGTATCATCCCATTCACATTAGAATAATGGTAACGGCAGCAGGCATGTGTCCCGTATAGAGCGTGAAACAGGTTTTAAAGCAAAATCCCAGACTAGTAGTGGTGAAAATTCCAAAACAAATGAAAGGATTCATAGGGCAAAGCATTACAGATGGCCAAGTATATTTCCTGAATTAAGAGCAGCACTGGGAAGTTAAGCAGCCTATAATTTGTGAAACACCTTTATCTCATTTCACAGAGATGTATGTACCTGAACCTACTAACGTCCCCATTGAGAAGACAAATCATCGTGGAGACATTGAACTGGAAGTACCAAACTGGCCAACACCGAGTGAAAATGACATCATCCACATTCACAGAGGTAAGATCTGACATAAACTGGGCTAACTTAGGTCTGTGTTTATTCCCCATGTTTTAATGCATCTATTTGTTCTACGCAGGTAGCGTCTGTTTGATACTTTGAAAAGGTGGTTATCTGAATATTCTTCAGTGCAGAACTCTTATGTGCATTTTACTTTGAGTAAGGATGAGTCAGATTATTAAATTATATTTATGCAATTTGGTCTCAATATCATTCCATCTTCAGCTTGGAAGAAACATCTGTGTTGGTATGAGGGAGTTCTATAAAATTAAGAATGTGATAAAATAGTGAATCAGGAGTGATTCTGCAGTGTCTTTTCTGATACAAAAACTAGAAAGCGGGCTGTTGTCAGACCACTGGGGTTGACAGACCTTCATTTGATCCATTTGACATTCTTATATTGATAAACAGAAACAGGAAACATGTACCACAAATCAACATACATCACAGACAAATATCAGAGTTAAAAAAAACGCTTCAGGTATAATGACACAGAGCTAATACAGTTGTCTAAGGTTGTAAATCCATCATTTGTTTAAAACTGTGCTGAAATCATTATTCCAGGGTAGGGGAAACACTCTACAAAACAGTCTTTCTTAACCTTTTCTAATTGGAGGACTACCTAAACTTGTATGTATATATTTTTTTTTTAAATCTAAGGATGATCTCATAGCATATTATTGTTTGGAGAAAGGATACATTAAATGTAACTGGTTTACAAAATTGTAAGCTTGAACTTTTATAATTACAGCATGGCATCATAGAATATTTTGGGTTGGAAAGGACCTTTAAAGGTCATCTAGCCCAATTCCCAAGCATTTTCATTTCTCGCAAGCATTAGTAGCTGGCTTGCAACTATCCTGGCTGGGGATTACAAGCACACACTGCAAACTATGTGGGAATGTTCCATATGTAATTGAAAATTACCATTCTTTGCAATTACATGCAGAACTTGCTATGGTCTAGTAGACTGCCAGCAGTCTGTTTCCACAGGCTGAGCAGAGCAAATATTGTAATATGTTCTCAACAAATGAGAGCATACATATGATAATTGTCTTACCAGATTTTAAAAAAAAGAAAAAAAAAAAAAAAACACAAAAAAAACCCCTCTACTTTCATCCTAAGATTTCCAGGTTTTCCTCAGCATAGCAACACAGGCTGATTTTTTTACAAGTGAGAATTTGATTGTGATTAGATAAGATGATGCAAACACAACTAAGCTAAGAGGTGGTTGTCAGACTTGCTGTTACTGTGCTTTAGATTCCATCCTATTTCCTCTCTTTTGATGGCCTTTTCCCAGCTAATATTAGTCAGTAGACAAGATACTAGCTTTCAGTTGTTCTAATTTATATAAACAAGGTGACACTTCAGGAGAGAAATTCCAAATTCATGTGAGTGACAAGATCTGCGACTGGGACTTTCATGATTTTATTTTTCTGTATGGTCAAGACTCATTTATAATTATAACAAATGCTCACATTTGCCTTGCAGACATGAATCATCTCCAAGGAGAGTACAGAAGTGGCAGCGGTCCACACCCAAGTGAAGATGCGTCGGTTAGCTCTGTTGCCTTGGTGACAATTCCAATCACAATAGCTCTGTTACTGATCATTGTCCTTCTGCTCATCAATCAGAAAAAGCAGTGGATTCCAGTGTCCTGCTACAAAGCTCCAACAAAGGTGCCATGTTTATGTCTATTTCCAGACTTTCACTTTTGTGGAAAACAAGATTAACTAGACTATTGTGTAGGATGCATTTGAGTTCACATGATGTGAACCCTCTTAAATTATTTTCTCCTTATGACTTAAACCATTTTATATTGGTCAGTACGTTGGTATTTATCTAGTCTCCTAAATGATTTGTTTCACCATCAAACAAAAACATTTCTTGCTTCATATAGTAATGAGTTGTCACTAGACAGAAATTAATCTCAGCAAAGAAATAAAACCACCCAACTCTGTATATGTGTAGGTAAATGCATGCAGTTTTCTTATCTGCAGTCAAACTCTTACGAGAATATTTTTGCTTTCTTAACTTTCATCCACAGCAAAAGTCCTGTCCAGCATCAGGTACTGTATGTACTAGTAGTGTTTATCACCTTTTCAATAACGGCATCATATGGTTGTGGGAATAATATTTTATGAGGGATATCGAGAAATATCTTCCAATTAAGTATTTTTAGACTACCAAAAAAAGGAGGAAGCAGGTAGCTTGAAAACGAACAATGAGAAGAGCATTGCTTTGTTTTGAGTAATAGTTCCATCAGCAGACTAAGCCCTTACTCCAGATTCAAATGACATTTATATCAGTTCCCCAATTTATTGCACTTACACTTCCTGGTTCTAATCAAACAGACTTTGTCCATACTTGGAATACAATTTGAGAGCATCTTTTCTTCAGTTTCACCTAGAAGAGTAGTACAGTAATTTTAAAAATGAAGTGTCCATATTCTGTCACTGCTGCAGAACTTTTTTTTAAAAAAATGTCATTTCCAAAAATCTTACAAATACAGTCAGAGCATAAAGTTGAATTCAACTGTAATTAAATAGGAAGCGTGAGGAATTGGTATTACTCCGTTTCGAGTCTTTCAGAAATTGGTATCGCTTACTTGTCTTGAATTTCTTAAGGAATGCATTTAAAAACTCATTTTTAACTCCAATGGATTCACTCCTAAACTCTCAGAACAGCTACTCTCCACCCAAGTTCTGTGCGACAAAATGATTGGAAGTGAAAATCACAATCTCATAACCATGGAACTATAATAAATAATTTTACATACTTTTTTACTTATGGAACATCATCTTCCTCAAACACTTCTATTGCTGAAACATCATTCTTTCAGTGTCAACAGAAGGCATCATCCATATGCTAAGAAATCTCAGTTTAAGCCACATACAGATTCAGTGCAAGACTGTGGATATACTGAAACTCATATATCTTGTGAGCGTCTTTGTCATAAATGTGTCTTTGTTTTAAGGTTTCTTCAACCAAGTGTCACTCATTAGGTTATTCTGTTCCTTGCTGGGTGACGGATGGTTCTTAGTAATAAATTCTGGCAAGCCTGTTTTGGCTTGTGTTGTGTCTGTTCGAAATAATCCAGCTATTTAATAAAGAACACAACAACTGTGCATATCATATCAATACCAAAAGAAAGATGATAGAAAAGACATTTAAAATTACAGATGGACAGCTAATGTTTGGCCCTGATTCCGTTAACATCAGTGAACCTCAGGACTTCTTTGTGAATCCAGTCCACATGCTTTTGAAGAGCCAAGTGTAAAGCACTTTAAAATAATGTTTTGTAATAAATATCTAGATTAAAAAAAAAAACTTTTTGTGTTAAGGGTTACTGAACATAAATTTCTAGTAGTAAAATAAAAACCCTTCTGATTTTCTGATTTAAGTCTTGGAAAAAGAAGCTGCATCAGTGGAAACTGGAAATTTTAAGATTTGCAGTCCACTTGCGTGCTTATAGTGTTGAGCATACATACGCTTTGTCACTAACTTCATATGTATCCATGGAGTATGCTTACTGCCTGTCCTCCTTCGTGCTTAGCCCATAAACATTTAAGGTAGTGTGCGCCCAGCGTTGTTTCACCTCCCGCTCACCTGCAGAATCTTTCAGTTGAAGTATTCTCAAATAGAGGAATATCAGGACTGGAAAGCTGGTACACATAGCTCGGCTCTTTCTTTGAGCAATATTTTATGTGCATTCACGCTTGTAGATCATTACATACGCAAACCCTCACTTACATTTGCCTAAAATTAAATCCCTTATTTTACACTTATAAACAAGTAAGAACAACTCTACTAAGTGCCACATTAACACTGGTGTCTCCACAATAACGCACTGTTTTGCAAGGGCATAAAGCCTAGCAAATACTAGATAAAAGGTGAATGATTTCCTAAATAAGGAACTAATACATAAACCACTTCAGAAAGGAATATAGAAGGATCCCATAGGACACCCCATGCCATTGGACACCCCAGCTGAGATCTCTCCCATTCTCTTAGTGGAATCGCAACCAGGAACAAAACATTCTTGAAAATGATCAGCAATAAAGAGCCTGCTAAAGTCTTGGAAATGAGCTGCTGCACATCCAGGGCAACGACGTTAAGCCCTTGTATGGTGTTAGACTAACAGAGAACAGTTCAACCAGTCCATCTGGGATATGAGAATACCACAGCTCCATTCAGAAGATGAAAAATGGTGATTCAGAAGAGAGTGTTGGTCTCTTATTGTGCCTGGCATAAGCCTTTACCAAGTTCAGCGAAGTCCAGACTCTTTTCATTGCCGATTTGATTTTGTTGTGTGCTTATGGACTTGAACCATAAAGACTTTTTTCATTATGTGTGGAATACAGGTTTTTTTTAAATTCACTCAATATTCCCTTTCTGTTTTCACAGCCTTCTTGCCTAAACAATCAACTGGTATATGTGGACTGCAAGAAAGGTACAATGGTCCAGGTGGACAGTTCTCAGAGGATGCTAAGAATTGCAGACCCAGATTCAAGATACAGTGGATTTTACAGCATGCAGAAACAGAACAACCTACAAGCAGATAATTTCTATCAAACAGTTTGAAGAATTGCACCCTTACCAAGGATTTGAGAAAGACAGAGAGAGAGGGGAAGAGAGACTGAGTCTGATATTAAAATAAAATTAGAATTGTGCACTTGCTTAGTGGATTGTATTGGATTTGTGACTACATGTACAGCTCTGAGACCTTACTGGGATGAGCTCTGACTCCTGCAATGTGCCAGAAAAAGCATTCCCACTTTTCCTTGAGATAACTGACCAAGTGTTTTCTTAGAACCAAAGTTTTAAAACTTGTTAAGATGTATTTGCTTGTAACATAGCTATAGAGGTTTTTTGGGAGGGGAAATCAGGGGCTAGGGGTAGGCAATGAGGTAAAAGGAAGTTTCAGAGAAGAAAAGCTGGTCATGCTTGGCTGGAGAGGAATAAAGAACACTGCTGAGCAGCAGGATAGTGGTTTTTCTTGTTGCTCTGAAATTGCATCTGTTGCAGCAAAGCCTAACCCCCGGTGAAAAAAATATGAAAAGGTCTGGGTTTTTTTTTTTTTCAGCTGTTGCTACAGTAATATACTCCTAGAACAGAACTTGTCACATCACAGGTGTGGTGTAGCTGCAAATATTTTTCTATATGATGAGAAGCTGCAGTAGTTAATGAAATAGCAAGGAAAAGGTTATAGCAGAAAATAAAGGGTGGGTTTATTAAGGATGTATAAAATTATACCTTGTGCTGCTTTTTGTTTTTATTTTTGTTTTCTTCAAAGCTGGTTGGCTAGATTAGCCAGACTTCGGCAGAGTTAGCAAATGACTGAGGCCTAAGTAATTCCTGATATGAGCACTGGATCTTTTGACAGCAGTATTGAAGGAAGGAAGGAAAAGTCAAGAACACCATGCAGTTCCAGGGGCTTTTGTTTGTTTGTTTTGTCTGTTGTGGTTTCGTTTTGTTATTTTATATCAATCTCTGGTTGTTCATACAGGAGAAGGAAAAATATTTTTGTTGGACAAAGCTCTTGCTTACAAGAGAGTAAATAAGAGACTGTTTTAAGGTTGTTGGTTGTTTTTTTTTTCCTGTTGATGTTCTTATTTACTGGTATGCAGATTTAGAAACTACTTCCATGCTAGGAAGCTGCTTAATTTTAATTGTATATTACTCAAGCACCTTTTTTGAAGCTCAGAAAAAAAAAAGGAGATCATGCTTCTTTAAACTTTAGCATTATAGGAATATTTATGTAAATATAATTATGCTAAAAACAACAAAAAGTATTTGTATGTTTGTGTATATATATGTATATACAAATGCATGTAGGTATACATATGTATATATACGTGCATGTGTATATACAGTATACATATATATACTGTATATATAAAATACTATGTATACAGTATATATTTTTTCTATTTTTTTTTCTCGTTGAATGTATTTTTATCTGAGAGAGATTTTACCCAGAGCAGAAACAGATAAACAGGCATTCCATATCAATGCTTAATCGCTTGTGAGTTTAGGAAAAACAAGAAAAGAGCATCTCATTCTACCTACAGTTTGATTTGATTTGAAAGTGTTTGTGTGCGCGCGTGTGTGTGTGTGTGCACTCTCGTGTTTGCGTGTGTACAGTACGTGCACGATTATAGCAGTAAGCGTTGCTCTTGCTACTTGCTACATTTCAGGGTGTTTCTTATTTTTCTTTTCCTGCTTAGCCTTAAAAAGGCTTTTTAATGAATGCGTTGGCTAGAGACACTGATGACAATATACATGCAGCACTAATCAGCTCCATAGAATAACACCATCAGCTCCTGGATTTCCTTTTTTTTTTTTTCTTTCTTTTTTTTTTTTTTTTCAAACAATTGTTTGAAACAACTACTGGAATATTGTCCACATTAAGCTGGAAGTTTGTTGTAGCTTGCCTCATTTATAACTCTGACTGTATAATACAATGTTAACTTTCCAAACAGGTCTTGGCACTTTTATACTAATTACCCATTTGTGCATTGCCTTTTTTCTTTTACAAATGCTTGTCATAAGAGACACAGATACCCAGTATGCTTAATGTGAAAAGAAAATGTATTTTTTGTAAAGGAACTCTCAAGTATTGTTGTAAATACTTGGTCAGAGGTTGCTGAACTTTAAAACTGAAAAAAAACCTAATTTATTATTATAATGACCTAATTTATTAATCTGAAGAATAACAATTTTTTTTGTTTTAGAATATCAAAAAGGTGTTCTAGCTGTTTGCATCAAAGAAAAAAAATAGGTGTATCATTAAGGGTCAACATTTTTTCTGCTTATATAACTTCAGTTTCCAACCACCAATAAGAAAAAATGTAGTCTCCCCAGTGTTTTGTACTCAATCTGATCTTGAAACAGAGATGTTTCTGTCCAGTTACTACAAAGATTTTGTCAAGACAAAACATCCATTCCTTGCATAAGAGTAAGCAGTCTTTATCCAGAAATTGTAAATGCTTGCTTTTGTTTTACAATCAAGGCCATATTCTGAAAATATTAGCAGGATATAGGACATGGTGTAAAATGTTTTTTTATTATTATTATTTTATTATTATTATTTTAAAGATATGATTTATCCTATGTGCTGTATCCATTACACTCTTTTACTTTGGTTCCTGTTGTGCTCTTGTAAGAGAAATGCAGATATAATTTTCTGAAAAATAGATGCGTATGTGGCACTCGGAGTGCACTGCGGGTCAGCAGATTGCTTGTTTACTTTTTTAACTGTAAGGCGGTTTCTTGTAATTTGGCTCTTGGCAGCACAATAAAAAAAATTTTAAACCTACTGATGCATATTTTCTGTAACGTTCATATTTATTACTTCCGTACACCGGTCTTTGAAACATTGGTGTATAGCTTGATATGATGGTGAATTTTTTTCCCTGGGAGTAGGAATTCATATTATTGTCCTGCTGACCTTCGATGAGAACAGTTCAGAACATACTGGGGGTAAAGAACAGCTTGCAGTTACAGAAAGTTCTGGGTTTTACACTAAATAATTTTCGTATTAGGGGGATTTGTGGCATTCCAAATGGTTTCAGCATTCAGTAAAGATCAATCTCTCGGCCTTTGCCCTGCCACGGAGTCCATGTGGTCTAGTCGTACCTGTCAGAAAGCCATAATCAATCATATGGGACTCTAATTTGAGGTTCTATAGAAAGTGTGTGGAAACAGAACTTACACTTCATGGACTTCCTGAGCCACAGATCATCTCTTTACCTATTAGCCTGTAATGCTTTTTCTTCTATTAATTTGTAAGTTAATGGACTTGATGTGAAATTCTGGCATCTAAATTCCTGAGGCAAGGAGTTTTTCAGCTTAACTACTTGCTCTGTGAAAAACTGCCTCCTTTTCTTTCTTTGAACATACCCTCTTGGTGGTTTCATTTGATACCCCTGACTTTGCATTCAGAGCAGCAGGGGATCAGTATCTATATGCCACCCATTAATTTAGAGACCTGTATCTTCTATTTTTTCTGTGCTGAATAGACCAAGATACAATTCTTTGGGAGCTGTTCCATATCTTCTGTCCAACCTTGCCATACCTTGTACTTCCCATTCTATTACAACCTTCTGAGATCAAGGGTAAAGGGACTGAAAAATGTCCATATTGTTGAAACATGGTACACCCAGGATCTAGCATTATATTTACTGTTTGTATTTGAACATTGGAGTCAATGTTCTTGCAGAGCTATCTACAATAATCCAAAATGCCCAAGTAGTAATAGTTACTGCAAAGCCCATAATTGACTTACACTAGGATAGATCGGTATTTTTGGGCAACCCTTTACATTTACATATGCTTATGTTATGCTTAGTTACCTGTTCAGGCATTTTTGCTCCTTTCCAAACCTATGGCTATGGAAGACTACGTCTTCTAGAAGAGCATCTTCACATTCTGCCTGCAAACATTTGGGTTTTCTTCAGAGTGGAACAGAAAACACCATCGTGCTAATGTATAAAACAGTGGTACACCCACATTTGAATACTCAAAAGTAGTCCTGGCCTCCTTTGCCCTACTCCTGGTGTCAGAAAAGATCATATTTGGAATGCCTACAATACAGTAGGGTTTGTCAGCTTGAAAAAGCTGAGCAGGATAGGACATAAGTCTTCAAATTACCTCAGTTACACGCAGGTGCTTAATGGGGAATGACTTTTCCATTTGCTGTGTGTCTCTCCAAACATAAGTAGGAAAGCTGAAAAGAAACTTAAAGGAGGCTTAAGCCAAATTCGAGGAAGTTAAGCAGAGAAAATTTCCTGCTACATACTTAGGCATATCAAAAGTTTACAGTGGCTCAAAAAAGTACTAGATAAAAAAAGCCCATCATAAGCTATTGCATGCAAGGACACAATATAAAGCTCGTGAAGGATGGGCGTGGGGGTGACTGCTAGTAAGTTTCAAGTATCTCCAAAACTTAGTTTTGTATGTGTTGGGTGGCTGAACAGAGGGAAAAATTACAGTCAAAAAGCCACCCATCCCTAGGCTACTGGTTTACAATGAAATTACTGCAAATGCTCCTCCTTCCTCTTTCCACTCCCCGGTGAACTGCCCCTACTCGCTGCCTCAACAGCACCTGCCTTGGGCCTGTGGCCGGCACCTCCCGTGACAGGCGCAGACCCCGTACAGGGGCCGGGCACGATGCTCGCTGGCGCTGCTGAGTCCGGCTCTCTTCGTTCCCTGCAGGCGGCGCCAGGGCCGGGCCGGTTCACGCTCGGCCACGGCCCCAGCCCACAAAACAGGCGCCCGGCTCCGACCGGGGTGACGCTGCTGACCACACCTCGAATCCTGTGTTCGGTTTTGGG